GCGAAATGGAGTTCCATCAGGGAATATAGGCCAAACAAAAGTGCTTATGTAATCAGATTTATTATGAAGAAAGAAATATGGCATGGACTGTGATACAAATCATACAATAGTATCCATGGCTGAGTTCCAATTAAACACACACAATACAATCTATAGTGGTAAAATCAGTAATGGATAATGTATAGTAGAAATTAAACCCAGACAAAGTAATCTTCCCTAAGGGTTTATTTTGCAATAATAAAGGAGATGTACATTATCCTGCTTATCACATGTCTATTTGTCAAATATATAGAAAACAGACATGAATTTTTGAATTAGGTTGAATTTATTGTATTATGGAAGAGAAAGATACAGCAGAGAGATGCAAAACATGAAACTAGCACAGTCACTGTACATAGGAAATAGGTTGTTAGGGACAACGGTTATATAGTTTAATAGTCGTTATACAAAAATATTGACCAATCAGAATAATGTATTTCATAAAATATAAAATCTTTAAAAAGTGAGAGAAACCCTTTTTAGATTTGTCAAAGTTGACATTAATACATTATTAATACACTTACGGTATTTGATATTGCCGCCTGTTCATTTTCCTTTCTAATGATTTTATTTTATCAACAGCCCTAGTTCCATTATATATATATATATATATATATATATATTGAAGATAACTAACAACAATAGCATTAACATTAATGAATAGATAAGAAAAAATATATGCAACAGGTATGAAAAAGATTAGCTTAATGCAGGTAATTTACAGGTAATAATTTGCTTTGACTTTAGTACAGTAAAAATCTAAAAGATAATTAAATAATATGGTGGTAATATTTTCCTTACACATTATAAATGAGTAAAAATATATAAATTGCCTGTATATTTTAAAGGGGACAACGAATTAAATTTTCTTCTTTTGTTTTTTTTTTGCATTTAGTTAGGTTTCTGGCGTCTCTGCCTGCTCAGAAAATCTGAAAAGTAAACATGCAGCCAGTTTGTTATGCGCTGTCTGAGCCTGAAATTGTGTCATCCAGTGAGCTGTTTCAATTTGCAGCCAGTTTCTAGATAGCTAGCTATTTGAATAAGACAACCTCCGAGACATATATGGAGTCCAAGGCAGCATTTCATGCACCTTGTGTCGACACACCCCACGGAACAGAGGGGTGGGGTGAGCAGTAGCTCATTATCATTTAAAGAGACATGCACTGAAATGAGTTGCTGTGAACAGAGCTGTTTTTGACAAGGTAAAAAGGGTGTTGTTTTACACAACCATTGAGGAATTTTAACCAAAGTATGTTGAAGACATTTCATGAAGGCCCTAAAGAATCAAACCAACTTGTGGAAAATGGGCATCCGATGTCCCCTTTAAGTTCTTTGGCATCAAAAAAGTTCAAAACCTCTTTTCCAGAAAACAACAAAAAGCCTAGTGAATGTAGTTTTTTGTGGAATAATAAATGCTTATTCCTTTTTTTGTTTCAAAACAATCAATTAACTAACCGACTGACAATGCATTATACACTGTAAAAAAAAAATTACGGTAAAAAACCGGCAGCTGTGGTTGCCGGAATTTTACCGTAAAAAAATTTAGGTTTTATGGTTTTAACTTAAATTTACAGTTAAAAACCGTAATTTCATTAACTGATATAATGTTAATATACCAACCTATTGAAGTACTGAAATCTGTTTTGTACCTTTGTAATACACTGATAACCACCCAATGCAGGTGGTGATGAGAAAGTCACATGATGAACCAAAGCCCATCACAAGCAGCTTTTAAATAATAACATATATATAGAAGGTGCACAGTGTCATTCACACAAACACTAAACACCATCATGGTAACACACATGAAACTGAAATAATGCAATAAACATTCATTTAACAATTAGGTATAACACACAACCATAATATACAAAACTGATAAGAAAAAACTAAGAAGAAACATAGTTATTTCAACAAAAAACATCAAATTTGAAATGTAACGCAGGGAATTCTGGGAATGTCAATTTACAATTTTCTTTTTCCCTTCCAAAAAAGGTATACTACCGTAAAATTAATGGCCAATACATGTAATGTCCAATACCGTTTTTTACCGTATATAGTAGGGGAATTTACTGTTAACCATTTAACAGGTTTTTACTGTAGCATTTTTACAGTCTTTTACCGTTAAATTCACGGTCATCAGAACAGATGAAATGATAATAATTTGAGGTTGAAATTAATTATGAGGTCTAATTATAAAATGTAAATTGAAGTATTTTGACATAGGATGAGGAATATAATGGATTGCTCTCTTAGCAGACCCTCTCTAAGACTTTTTTCTCTCTTTGAGTGTATTATGTAAGAGAATATGTATCTGGAATTAAAAAGAGAGAGGGGCAACCTCGTGTTAACCTTATGCAGCATGCACAAACACAATACACACACAGATAGTCAGCCTCAGCAAACTTCTCTGTGACTACAGGATTGACGGTGTATCTGCAAAGGAACATTCCCACTTTGGGATCTGAATCCTAAAGGTCAGCATAATGGGCCTTGGCTGTCTCCCCAGCACTCAAATGCAGAATGGGGTTCAGCCGCAGTGCTTGTCAAGTCATCCATAAGTGCTGTTCCAGCATCGCCTGTCTCTTGGTTCTAATGAGGATAGTATTTCACGGACACTTTGCCAGCCAATCTCTAATTTTAATGTGCTTCCAGTCATTTCAGGTTTCAGAGTTTATCCATTTGTATAGGTATACAAAGCAATTACCATAAATCTGTTTACCCAGAGTATATGGTGAGAGTGGTTGAAATCCATTTGCTCTGTACGGTGGTGCCACGTAGCTACTACTTCCTTTTAATTTCATCATCAGTTTTACAGTAACCTGAGTGCAGAAACCAATATAAAGACACTACACA